CCCCCAGCAGGATCAGAGCCTGCAAGTGTGATGCTTCCTGTAGTTGAAGCAAGAACGCTTCATCAACATCCTCCCATTGATCAGGTGGCCTGTAGTAAACACCAGCTACGAGATTTCCTTTGTTGGCTTGGTCTCTAATTTTCACCCATAAGCTCTCAACCTGTGTATTGCTGTTTTTCAAAGACAGCTTTGTGCAATCAATCCATTTTTTTACACAGAGAGCAACACGCGCGCACACACACACCCTCCCCTCCTTCCTTGCCTGGCCCTCCTAAACAGTTTATAGCTATCGATTGCAGTGCTCCAGTCATGTGATTCATCCCACCATGTTTCAGTGATAGCGATCAGATCATAGCTTTCCAGCTGCCCAGTGGCTTCCAGCTCCTCCTGTTTGTTACCCATGCTACGTGCATTGGTATAGCGACACTTCAGTTGGACTGTTGACTGTCTCACCTTTTTGGTGGAACCTTTTTGGAGGGTTGGGGGGCATTCCTCAGTACTCCGGTAGGTGTGCTCATCCACCCTGTTGCTTGCGAGTACACAAGTGTTGTGGCTTTGGACCCCACCCCCCCAAGTTCCTTAGTTTAAAGCACGATTCACGAAGTCATCAAAGTCAGCCAATCTGCCAGCAAAGATGCTCCTTCCTCTTCTAGATAGGTGGATCCCAATAGGCTGTATTCATTGAAGAACGTCCCGTGATCATAGAAGCCAAAGCCCTGGCGATGACACAAGCCACGAAGCCAGGTGTTGATCTGCATGATGCGTCGACTTCTGCCCACACCCCTATCCCTGACTCACAAGATAGAGGCGAAGATCACTTGGACCCCTCTCCCCTTCACTTGTGCCCCCAGGGCTCTGAAGTCCTGCTTGATCTTGCCCAGGCTATGCTTTACCGTGTCATTGGTGCCCACATGGAAAAGAAGTAGGGGATAGTAGCCTGTGCTTTTAACCAGTTTTGGCAGTCTCTCTGTAACATCCCAGATCTTGGCTCCTGGCAAGCAGCAAACTTCCCTTGACTGTATATCAGGCCGACAGATGGGTGCTTTGGTGCCTCTCAGCAGAGAGTCGCCCACCACTAGCACTCGCCGCTTCCTTTTGCAGCTTTTAGTGTGTGCAACTGGTGTGGTTTCTCCCTGTGAGTCTTGCTCATTGGCTTCACCCACTGCCAAGACTTCGTATCTGTTGCTGGTTGGTACATACGAAGAAATGGGGGGGAAGTGATATCCTGTTGCCACAAGTCACCAGAGACTATGGCGCCTCCTTCTCCAAGGTGCTGTCTGTTCGCTGTTGACACCCTTTGTCTGGTAGTCCTTGGAGGTCAGTGCTACGAGGCTCTAGTATTTCTTCTTGCAAAGTCTCGAATAATACTCTATCTATTTCTTGTTCTCCTTCCCCAATACAGCATAACCTGCTGACTTCCTCCTGCAGCTCCTCCACCCGCTGCCTGAGTGACTCCACCAGAGCACACCTTGCACGGGTGGAGCTTGCACCCTCCTCCACCCAGGAGTGTGGGGTACAGACTTTACAGCCCTCCACCTGGACAGCAGCTTCCCTGATAGGAAGCTCTGTCTGGGTGGCTGCCTCCACTCGTCCCAGGCTAGCCTGGCTAGATAGATGGGCTCCCAGCTGCTGCAGAGCGCAGCCTTCACCAGGTGTCTGCCACCATGCTTCTGACAATCCCAAAGTACTGCCTAATAAGCCCTTCTAATTCCCTGGAGACCTCAAGCTGCTGGGTAGGTTTGCACAGCCAACAGCTAGCTGGGGTGACCATCGGGGCCACAGCCGAAGCCTGCAGGTGAGCAGAGCAGGCAGCAGCCTGACAACTGGTAGAGTGCGCTGTCCCTTCTCACAGGCCCTTCCACACAAACTTCTGCACTGCTCCTCTCAAATGATGCTCCCTGTTTGCATCACTCCTGGTTGCTGGAGCTCCCTAGGGGCTGGTTATATGCGGCTTCCCAAGGTTTGAACTGGCCGCGGGGACCACCGGCACTACCTGGCATCTACATGTTGTAGATGAGATACAGAGTTGGGCATATATAGTGCTGCTAGCTAGTATGCTGTATAGTTGGGCGCAGTTATAGTGCTGCTAGGTTTGAAGTAGAAAAAGTTGCAAAAACATTCATCTTGAATGAAATAGGAATGTAAAAAAAAGCAGCACACAACTTAGTAGTGTTACTTTATACTGGTCCTGTTGAATGCACTGGCAACTTTCTATCACTTGAGTGCTTACTGCGTACAATATCTGATAGCGTGGATCCTCACACCTGTGAGGAGAAATGCACTGTATCAGTGGACACTTCTGTGTAAAGTGACAGAAAGACCAGATCCACTAGTAAATGCTACCATAGATGTGACTGTGGGCGTGAGCAAAAGTTGCAAGTCCTTGGTCTGTTCAAAGTGTATTCAGGAAAACCCGAATCAGTATTGGCTAGTTTTACAGCAAACTTCCCGTGGCAGTCACGGAAGCTGCCTCATGAGAGTGACAAGAATAGCCCTATAATTTTTACGCCTGAAGGGCTTTTACTATAAAATGAATTCTTTGCATGTGGAAACAAGCAAACCGAGAAACAAATGAAAAGCCTACTGGTGCAAGCACGCTTTGTTTCCAAAATCATTACTATGGCTCTGACTCTGTAATCAATGCTTACTCTTGTCATGTGACTTCTTCAGCAGCAGCTATATGGTATGACTACAGGATCAGACATTGTCTTCAAGTCTAGCCAGCTATAGAGATACTTTAATGGACTGTAAATTGAAGTAATTAACTGGTGAAAAACTGCATACTAAGAGAGAGGCTGTTTGAAAGGCTGTACATGTCTCTCTAATGAAATGGATTTCATTGTTTTACAGGCATTTTTAACTGCCGTAGGAGACAAGAACCGTAGGGCTGTCCTTGCACTGGAACATATGTTTGCACCAGTGTTGGATGGAGCTGTGTCCACTCTGTTTGGAGTGTTAATGCTCGCAGGATCAGAGTTTGATTTTATTGTCAGGTAAAGCATTTGTGTGTCTTGACTTTTTTTTTTTTTTAAATAAAAATATGTATGCTTTTAATATTTAGACATTTTAGTGTATCTGTCATTTTATTACTATGTATGGTGTGTCAAGCATGCTTCCGTCATGGTCCTGTTTTCCCTATGTTTTATTAACTCCTTGTCACATGCTTAGACAGTAGCATTTTCATTGCTGGTATTAAAATCTGTTCCAGGAAAATCTGACTCCCAGCATGAAAAGAAACAAAAATGGCCCTCTTTAGCAAAGTTTGCTAATTCTGGAATTAAGTCAGTTTGAAGCAGCTAGTATTGTCCAATATTAGCTGGATTTTACCTTTAACCTTCCAGATATAGGTCTTCCAGATTTTTCATATGCACAATGTTTTGCCTGGAAAGGACACATGGAGCTACAAACATGCTGCAATTACACTGCAACTGATGCTCTCTGGGCCTTCTCCTGCTATCTTTATATGAGGTTTACAGCAATTTATAAATGGTTGAGGAAAAAAGCCCTGTTTGGGAGCTAGGGAACCATAAGTATGAACACAGAACTTCATATTAAAATTTTGTAAAGCAAAGTCCGAAGGCTCTTCTGTTTAGAACTACAGGCACAGTTTCTTGTGGAATTAATTAAGAATGTGAATTTGTCAAGTATGAGAGGAGAGCAAGTTTTTTTTTTGAGGGGTATTTTAGAAGTACAATGAAACAGTTCCTAATCCATTCCAAACAACCTGTGGAGCTCTGCAAAATCTCTAATCCTAGAAGTAACACAGGTTCTTTGTGGCAAACTGCAGCACAAAAAAAAAAATAAAAAATCCTAGCCCTAAATCAGAACTGAGGTAGAACTGGGTGTCCTGGTTCCGGCAGGGATGGGGTTAATTTTCCCAAGGAGCCTGCAGGGGACACAGGTATTCCATGCCATGTGACCCATGCCCAGGTTTTTAGGGGAGAGCTAGCCAGGGGAGGGGGCAGGAAGTCACGGCTTGGAGCGGGCTGCGGTGGTCCGTGTCCAGTCGGAGAGCGGCGGCACTGTAATCACGTTCGTATATTCCTTTACCGGTGTTATTGTTATTGTTTTCTCTTCCTTTTGCTGTTCTGTTAAACTGCCTTTATCTCAACCCACGAGTTTTTGCCTTTTTCTGACGATTTTGCCCACGGCTGTGGGAGTTGAGCGAGCGGCCGCGTGGTTCTTTGTTCCCGGCTGAGGCCAAACCACAACACTGGGCCGCATAAAAATGCTCTGAAAGATGACTTAACTGCTTAGGTAAACATAAACTGGATAGGTGATCAGACTTAGCTGACATCCATTTGACAACACCACCAACAACAAAATGTCCGAGGCAAGAACTGAGAGAATGATTGCTAAATCTCATGAGGACTTTTTTGTTTATGTATGCAAGAGATTTGCAGAAAGTAGGGAGTAGGAGGTTTACACTTAGATCTAAATACATTAAACCTACATGGGGATTATTACTATACAGATATTGCATGGCCTGAAATAGAACTTGTATTTTTTTTCAGGTCAGTATATTTTATTTTATTGGTGGTGAAGAAATAAGGTAGAATTATTCTTTTAGGACCTGATCTTGTAAGGGATGGAACACACTGACGTATAGGTTGCTCATAGATTTAGCCTAAATTTACAGGGGTATATTTGCTGTGCTACTTTCCCATTTAACAGAAAAAAGATTTAGCAAACATATTTTTGTATCATGGCAAATGGAAGAGTTTAGCAGCCCTTCATTCAAAATTTGGAGTGGATATTCTCTTAGTATATAAAATGAGCATTTCAACCTTTCAGCTTCTTTTATTTTTCTTTTTTGCCCATCAGTTTCTTGTTTTCTAGCACAATCTGACTTTAGTTCACCTTGTTTAAAAAATAAAGTAAAATAAAATAACATAAAATAAAATAAACTATCAGAGCCTGAGCATTGTTATAGTGGGTGAAGATGACCCCAAACTTCCAGAAAGAGATAGGTTAGTCCAAGAGAGTGGAATATTAACTAATTAATAGATATTGTATATAAATTCTAGTTTAGCATTTCTTCTTTCAAAAGGCATGTGGGGGTTCTCAAATGACCCATGATCAGCTTCATAGTATCCTTTGTAGGACAGAAAGCTCCCTCCCCAAGAGTTGTGGTTGTGCGTGACAGGGTGGACAGCAACAGTCACTGAAGCTGAGGCAGTCACAGTAGTGATAGGCTGACAGTAGGCTGGTCCTGAGGCACTCATGGCACCAAACACCGGGCTTCTCATGTTATGAGAATGAGCCTTGTGGCCCAAGCAACCCCTATTGCTAGGTCCTGAATGCCACTCAGCCAAAATTTCAAAAGCATCACTGCGAGGGCAGTAAGGAAGTGGTCGCAGCCCTTCCCTTGTTTCCCATTTTAGTTGCCTGCCCTGATTCTGTGCCTGCTGAGTGCCAGACTCTGGATTCGACTGCAATCTGGGACTTGACTGATACCTTGTCTCCGGCTGAACCACCTGAAAGGGAGACACATGGTTACGCCTCTGACAAAGCAAGGCAAACAAATACTACACTCTTTTATATTTTATCCCAGGAAAAACATACTGGTATTGTCCTGGTCCTAACTCTATAAAGGTAGTGTTCTGGAGTCTTAGAACTGTTGATTTTTCCAGACATTTTGTTGTCTGAAGTTGTTAAAACCTGGAATGCATAACTTCAGATAAACACAGGACTACAACTGCAAATATATGCACTTCCTACATACTGCTCTAACTGGTTCAACAAGCAAAATTGCAGGCATTTGGAAAAGGCTCCACCAAGGGTACATACACAGGATGTTAGTGGGGTAGTTTGTACAGACTGTAGGAATCTGTTTCTGGATTTCTTTAAAAAGCATGAAGCACAGTGGCCACATCAGTCAATAAACTGTGACCAACTTCAAATGTGGCTGTGCTTGTACCTATTTTTAAGCCTCTGCTGAACAAAAAGAGATCCACATTGCAGCTCAGCATGCAGCATCATGGGGAGCAGGAGATGGAGCTTTTTTACTTTCCTTTGAAATCGCAGTTATGCCAACCCAGTTGCAAGATGGAACAGACCCAAGACTTGATACAACCCGAAACTTCTTTTTTTCTGGGCTCTTTCAATCTTTCTCCCCAAGTGAGCTGTCCAGAGTAGAGGTATATGAGATGGTGACCCACAGGGAGCTGCGTGGAAGAGGTTTGCATCTTTTAAACCTCTCCCCACTTCCTTTACTGGAAGTCACCTAGAACAGTCATTGAATAGACTGAGAGCTCTCTCTTGTGGCTGGTGCTAATATGATATAACAGCAATTACACGTGCTGAAGACCTCAGCTTTGGTACCATAATTTTACCCCAACTTGATTATAAAGGAAAGCCTTCATGTCCTGTCTACAAGTGCTCCAAATTTTGGCAGAGTCACAAAGCATAATCAGCCAGAAACATGAAAGAAATATTACAGCCTTCCCACAGAAATAGATTTAAATTAAAAAAACCCAACCAAACAAAAAATATTCTTGCCCTCCCTCCAGTCAATATGTGAGTTACTTACAGTGGATCTTGCAAAGACAGGATTGTCAGTGGCTTCCGATATTACTTGATGGACTGGTGCCCCAGAACCTTGAGTAGCCTCATACTGATGGAGCTCTTCACTGATGCCTGACACTACAGTTTGAGAGCTGTACTCAGAATCAGAGAAATCTGACCCATTATTTGTGTGCCCGGGTGGCAGTGCAAACCTCGTGATGCTGGGGGGTGGCTCAGAAGATTGAGTAGGTAATATGTTTCGTCCACTGGCTGGAGAAACCTGATAATGACAATGATAATTATGATTAGAAGCATTCAGTGTCATTTAGTTACAATTACCCTTATTATTATTAGCACTTGATAGAAATATTCTTTAGCCAAATACACCTATCCGTGCCATGAGAACCTTAGCACTAGTTTTCTGATCAACACCTGTATTACACTGAAAAAATGCATGAAAGAAAGAGACAATCTCCATTTCTGGAGATGTATGCAAATAGGATTATACATATTCCTCTATGTATCATTGTCTCAGCAAGTGCATATATGTACATGAACATGCACACTTACACTTATAAATATACAAATAATTCCTGGACTTGCCTCCCCCCTTCAGCATACATTAAGCATGATTTCATAAATCATCTTAAATGTGTATGTATAGTATTGTTCAGTGTCTAGTTGCAAAGAGAGATGGGCACACATAATCGCAATATATGCACATACATACATATATATTGTTTGAATAAGGGACAGGCCATGTATACTGTTAGGAATATAAGAGATTATGCACTTCTGTCAAAACTGTTTTATTAATACTGTATTGGGTGTATGTGGCAAGGTTTTGGTAGCAGGAAGGGGGGTCTTCAGGGGTGGCCTCTGTGGGAAGAGGTGAGGCGTTGCCCTGTGCTGCACAGGGCCAATTCCAGCTGGCTCCATGTCATGGTTTGGGCCAGACTGGCCACGGAAACAAACAGATGCTCTCCTCCATCTCCCCTTGGAGAGCCCCACTGCAGGCCACAGGTGAGCCAATCAGTGAAGCTGGTGGCGCCTCTATGAAAACATATCTAAGAAAGGGCAGAAATTGCCAGACAGAGAGGAAAACAGCAGAGAGAACACCAAGGTGAGAGAAGGAAGAGGAAGTGCTCATGGCACCAGAGCAACCTATGAAAGACTTTTGCTGGAGCAATTATATTTTTCCTGAAGGACTGTAGCCTGTGGGAGAGCCCATGCTGAAGCAGGGGAAAAATGTGAGAGGGGAGAAGCAGCAGAGAGAAACCACCATGTACTGATGGTAATCCCCACCTCCCATCTTCCCCCGTGCTGCTTGGGTAGGGATAGAGGAGTCTGGAGTGAAGGAGTGAAGTTGGACATGGGAAAGGGGAGAGGAAAGGTGTAGTTTTAATGTTTGTTTTTGTTTCTTACAACCTGAATCTATTTTAATTGGTGATAAATTAAATTAAATTTTCCCAAGTTGAGTCTGTTTTGCCCAAAACAGTAATTGGTAAACAATCTCCCTGTCTTTATCTCTACCCACAAGCTTTTTTATCCTTTGTCCTGCTGAGGAGCAGCTGAGTGGGCATTTGGCTGTTAGTCAAAGTTAACCCACCACAAATACTAAGATCCAAAATAAATACATCTCAAATATTACTAGCACTGTATACACACCTTATGTTTTATTTTTATACACATGCACACACACACATATATATAAACATGCAGCATAGCATTACTGATTCTAATAATGCATGATAAAGATATCCATACATAACACAATAATTGTGTTAACTGAAATGTAGGTAATGAATAATCAAATACAAAATTGATAGTTATGAATCCTTTTTTGCTTGACTTGGGCTTTATACTGTAAAGTCCTCAACATCCAGGTGGAGCCTTCCACCCACCATCTTTGCTTGAGCCAAGAGGGTACCACAGGGAGGGATGACTGGACTGGGGGGGCACCTTCTGGCAAACTTCTGGCCATGGTTTTCAGGGTGTGGTCTGTGGACCACCACTGGTGTAACATTGGTTCACACATTGGTCTGATATTTTGAAGAAACAACAGATGCACTGGGGTGGGAAAGGAGAAGGTGTGTGTATTAAAGGAACTGTCTTTTGCAATGTCTTGGGAAAAAGCCTGAGTTTATATTTGCATATGACATTCTGCTTTTAAAAGCTTACCAAATACCTACATTTGTATCATCTAGTTTGTTGATTGCAGCCTCTAAAACAATACTTATTAAAAATCGTACTTTAAAAGTATAAGAAAGTAGAATATCAAATAAATAACAAACAACGTTTAATAAAGATTTAAATTAAAACTAGGGCAATAAAATTAATGTAAAATTTAAAAAATCCAAGAGAATTTTAAAAATAAAATGTTTCTAGAGAAGGGGGGTGATTGCAGGGGGAGAGATAATATTATCATTTCTTCTGTCCACCATTAGTTTTACTGACCTCAGGGTACGGTCCAAAGAGTGAAAGAAGAACAGGAAGCAGCACCAATCCATTGAGAACTCCCAAAATGGTTAAGATTGACAAAACAGCAAAAAAATACCTGAAGTAGAGTTTAAGGGGGTGAGAGGGAAGAGAAGAGGCATAAATATTGTTAGAAATAAGGGATTACATACTACTGCTAAATATATTAAAAGAATACTAAATTAAACCTCAAATATTACTAATATTATACTGAATAATTATAACACTTTCTTTATATATAGTTTTTTGTTTGGTTTTTTTTACTCTTTTTATTTTTGTTTTACCCTTTGGATGTACATCATACAACCCAAAGTATTAGTTAATAAAAGAAATAAATAAAATTAAATTTGTTAATTTCCCAGAATCTGGCCACATGTAATGTTATTTATGAATGTGTTACATAAATACAAAAATATGGACTGTGCAGTTAATGGTTGAATGGGTTGAAAGCACATAAAGCATTTATCTAAAATTTTAGATTTATTTAAATCTCCAGCATAAGGTAAGGCTTTCCTTTGCCGTTCATTAATCACAACTTTCCACCTAGAATTCTGTGAGTTCCAGTTTTACCAAATAGTTCAAATGGCAGCCTTTTTACAACACAGAAACCACCTTTCTGCAAAGAAAATGTAGCCCATTCTATAGTAAGCTTCAGCATCCTAGTGAGTAATAGAACTCCACAATAGCAGAATTGCATTGCAGGCTAATCTTTTTTTGAACAATTTAACACCTCTAAATACTTTTGATTTTGCATCAGCTAATTCAAACATAAAAGCTGAAGTACTGTGAAACAAGAGGAAAGTGCACAAGTGTTTGCCCTTTCCAACCACTGAGGGCTAAGGTCTGGGATCCTTCATGAATACCAAAGTAAACCAGTCAGTAAAAGGAAAGCCTTGCTAGTTTCACACATTGGTCTGATATTTTGAAGAAACAACAGATGCACTGGGGTGGGAAAGGAGAAGGTGTGTGTATTAAAGGAACTGTCTTTTGCAATGTCTTGGGAAAAAGCCTGAGTTTATATTTGCATATGACATTCTGCTTTTAAAAGCTTACCAAATACCTACATTTGTATCATCTAGTTTGTTGATTGCAGCCTCTAAAACAATACTTATTAAAAATCGTACTTTAAAAGTATAAGAAAGTAGAATATCAAATAAATAACAAACAACGTTTAATAAAGATTTAAATTAAAACTAGGGCAATAAAATTAATGTAAAATTTAAAAAATCCAAGAGAATTTTAAAAATAAAATGTTTCTAGAGAAGGGGGGTGATTGCAGGGGGAGAGATAATATTATCATTTCTTCTGTCCACCATTAGTTTTACTGACCTCAGGGTACGGTCCAAAGAGTGAAAGAAGAACAGGAAGCAGCACCAATCCATTGAGAACTCCCAAAATGGTTAAGATTGACAAAACAGCAAAAAAATACCTGAAGTAGAGTTTAAGGGGGTGAGAGGGAAGAGAAGAGGCATAAATATTGTTAGAAATAAGGGATTACATACTACTGCTAAATATATTAAAAGAATACTAAATTAAACCTCAAATATTACTAATATTATACTGAATAATTATAACACTTTCTTTATATATAGTTTTTTGTTTGGTTTTTTTTACTCTTTTTATTTTTGTTTTACCCTTTGGATGTACATCATACAACCCAAAGTATTAGTTAATAAAAGAAATAAATAAAATTAAATTTGTTAATTTCCCAGAATCTGGCCACATGTAATGTTATTTATGAATGTGTTACATAAATACAAAAATATGGACTGTGCAGTTAATGGTTGAATGGGTTGAAAGCACATAAAGCATTTATCTAAAATTTTAGATTTATTTAAATCTCCAGCATAAGGTAAGGCTTTCCTTTGCCGTTCATTAATCACAACTTTCCACCTAGAATTCTGTGAGTTCCAGTTTTACCAAATAGTTCAAATGGCAGCCTTTTTACAACACAGAAACCACCTTTCTGCAAAGAAAATGTAGCCCATTCTATAGTAAGCTTCAGCATCCTAGTGAGTAATAGAACTCCACAATAGCAGAATTGCATTGCAGGCTAATCTTTTTTTGAACAATTTAACACCTCTAAATACTGTTGATTTTGCATCAGCTAATTCAAACATAAAAGCTGAAGTACTGTGAAACAAGAGGAAAGTGCACAAGTGTTTGCCCTTTCCAACCACTGAGGGCTAAGGTCTGGGATCCTTCATGAATACCAAAGTAAACCAGTCAGTAAAAGGAAAGCCTTGCTAGTTGGTATTCAGCACGGATGGAGCTCACACTAAATTTAAGGCTACCTTATAACTAATGATTTCAAGAACTCAGTCTTGGGTAAAGTCCAGGAGGAGAAGGGGTAGGAGAAGAACTGAGGGCAAGTTTGCTACTAATGGCCCTGCTGACGGTAGCTGCTGCTCTAATAGGTCCACGTCTTTCTTATACTGGGGACTCTAAGCAGGGCTGCTCTAAATCAATTAATTCCCCAGTCTGTATTGATATCCGGGGTTGCCCCAACCCAGGTGCAGGACCTTGCCCTTGGCCTTGTTGAACTTCATGAGGTTCACGTGGGCCCACTCCTCAAGCCTGTCAAGGTCCCTCTGGATGGCATCTCTTCCCTCAAGCATATCATCTGCACCACTCTGCAAACTTGCTGAGGGTGTACTCAATCCCAATATCTATGTCATTAATAAAGATATTGAACAGTACTGGTCCCAATACAGGCCCTTGAGGGACACTGCTTGTTACTGATCTGGACACTGGGCCATTGACTGTAACTCTTTGGACGCGGCCATCCAGCCAATTCCTTATTGATTGAACAGTCCATCCATCAAACCCATATCTCTCCAAGTTAGCGGTAAGAATGTTGTGGGGGACCATGTCAAAGGCCTTACAGAAGTCAAATAGATGACATCTGTAGCTTTTCCCTTTTCCACTGATGCAGCCACTCCATCATAGAAGGCCACCAGATATTAGTCAGGCACTATTTGCCCTTGGTGAAGCCATGTTGACTGTCTCAAATCACCTCCCTGTCATCCATATGCCTTCACATGTCTTCCAGCTAGCTACATAGCTGGCAACAAACTTTACTGCATCCATGTTTCTACATCTGATCAAATATATCAGACTCCTGTGAAATTAAAAATAGCCTGCTACTGTAAAAATGTTGGAATTCCTGATCTGCATTAGCAAAAATCAGTGAACCAATCTACTCCACTAAAATAAACCACCAGAAGTTTATACTGGGACAGAGATTAACAACAGGCATTAAAACATTTGCATCTCATCCATCTAAAATTAGGATACACAAGAAGATTATAGCTGTCACCACGTGGTGTATACAATATCTATTAATTAGTTAATATTCCACTCTCTTGGACTAACCTATCTCTTTCTGGAAGTTTGGGGTCATCTTCACCCACTATAACAATGCTCAGGCTCTGATAGTTTATTTTATTTTATGTTATTTTATTTTACTTTATTTTTTAAACAAGGTGAACTAAAGTCAGATTGTGCTAGAAAACAAGAAACTGATGGGCAAAAAAGAAAAATAAAAGAAGCTGAAAGGTTGAAATGCTCATTTTATATACTAAGAGAATATCCACTCCAAATTTTGAATGAAGGGCTGCTAAACTCTTCCATTTGCCATGATACAAAAATATGTTTGCTAAATCTTTTTTCTGTTAAATGGGAAAGTAGCACAGCAAATATACCCCTGTAAATTTAGGCTAAATCTATGAGCAACCTATACGTCAGTGTGTTCCATCCCTTACAAGATCAGGTCCTAAAAGAATAATTCTACCTTATTTCTTCACCACCAATAAAATAAAATATACTGACCTGAAAAAAAATACAAGTTCTATTTCAGGCCATGCAATATCTGTATAGTAATAATCCCCATGTAGGTTTAATGTATTTAGATCTAAGTGTAAACCTCCTACTCCCTACTTTCTGCAAATCTCTTGCATACATAAACAAAAAAGTCCTCATGAGATTTAGCAATCATTCTCTCAGTTCTTGCCTCGGACATTTTGTTGTTGGTGGTGTTGTCAAATGGATGTCAGCTAAGTCTGATCACCTATCCAGTTTATGTTTACCTAAGCAGTTAAGTCATCTTTCAGAGCATTTTTATGCGGCCCAGTGTTGTGGTTTGGCCTCAGCCGGGAACAAAGAACCACGCGGCCGCTCGCTCAACTCCCACAGCCGTGGGCAAAATCGTCAGAAAAAGGCAAAAACTCGTGGGTTGAGATAAAGGCAGTTTAACAGAACAGCAAAAGGAAGAGAAAACAATAACAATAACACCGGTAAAGGAATATACGAACGTGATTACAGTGCCGCCGCTCTCCGACTGGACACGGACCACCGCAGCCCGCTCCAAGCCGTGACTTCCTGCCCCCTCCCCTGGCTAGCTCTCCCCTAAAAACCTGGGCATGGGTCACATGGCATGGAATACCTGTGTCCCCTGCAGGCTCCTTGGGAAAATTAACCCCATCCCTGCCGGAACCAGGACACCCAGTTCTACCTCAGTTCTGATTTAGGGCTAGGATTTTTTATTTTTTTTTTTGTGCTGCAGTTTGCCACAAAGAACCTGTGTTACTTCTAGGATTAGAGATTTTGCAGAGCTCCACAGGTTGTTTGGAATGGATTAGGAACTGTTTCATTGTACTTCTAAAATACCCCTCAAAAAAAAAACTTGCTCTCCTCTCATACTTGACAAATTCACATTCTTAATTAATTCCACAAGAAACTGTGCCTGTAGTTCTAAACAGAAGAGCCTTCGGACTTTGCTTTACAAAATTTTAATATGAAGTTCTGTGTTCATACTTATGGTTCCCTAGCTCCCAAACAGGGCTTTTTTCCTCAACCATTTATAAATTGCTGTAAACCTCATATAAAGATAGCAGGAGAAGGCCCAGAGAGCATCAGTTGCAGTGTAATTGCAGCATGTTTGTAGCTCCATGTGTCCTTTCCAGGCAAAACATTGTGCATATGAAAAATCTGGAAGACCTATATCTGGAAGGTTAAAGGTAAAATCCAGCTAATATTGGACAATACTAGCTGCTTCAAACTGACTTAATTCCAGAATTAGCAAACTTTGCTAAAGAGGGCCATTTTTGTTTCTTTTCATGCTGGGAGTCAGATTTTCCTGGAACAGATTTTAATACCAGCAATGAAAATGCTACTGTCTAAGCATGTGACAAGGAGTTAATAAAACATAGGGAAAACAGGACCATGACGGAAGCATGCTTGACACACCATACATAGTAATAAAATGACAGATACACTAAAATGTCTAAATATTAAAAGCATACATATTTTTATTTAAAAAAAAAAAAAAGTCAAGACACACAAATGCTTTACCTGACAATAAAATCAAACTCTGATCCTGCGAGCATTAACACTCCAAACAGAGTGGACACAGCTCCATCCAACACTGGTGCAAACATATGTTCCAGTGCAAGGACAGCCCTACGGTTCTTGTCTCCTACGGCAGTTAAAAATGCCTGTAAAACAATGAAATCCATTTCATTAGAGAGACATGTACAGCCTTTCAAACAGCCTCTCTCTTAGTATGCAGTTTTTCACCAGTTAATTACTTCAATTTACAGTCCATTAAAGTATCTCTATAGCTGGCTAGACTTGAAGACAATGTCTGATCCTGTAGTCATACCATATAGCTGCTGCTGAAGAAGTCACATGACAAGAGTAAGCATTGATTACAGAGTCAGAGCCATAGTAATGATTTTGGAAACAAAGCGTGCTTGCACCAGTAGGCTTTTCATTTGTTTCTCGGTTTGCTTGTTTCCACATGCAAAGAATTCATTTTATAGTAAAAGCCCTTCAGGCGTAAAAATTATAGGGCTATTCTTGTCACTCTCATGAGGCAGCTTCCGTGACTGCCACGGGAAGTTTGCTGTAAAACTAGCCAATACTGATTCGGGTTTTCCTGAATACACTTTGAACAGACCAAGGACTTGCAACTTTTGCTCACGCCCACAGTCACATCTATGGTAGCATTTACTAGTGGATCTGGTCTTTCTGTCACTTTACACAGAAGTGTCCACTGATACAGTGCATTTCTCCTCACAGGTGTGAGGATCCACGCTATCAGATATTGTACGCAGTAAGCACTCAAGTGATAGAAAGTTGCCAGTGCATTCAACAGGACCAGTATAAAGTAACACTACTAAGTTGTGTGCTGCTTTTTTTTACATTCCTATTTCATTCAAGATGAATGTTTTTGCAACTTTTTCTACTTCAAACCTAGCAGCACTATAACTGCGCCCAACTATACAGCATACTAGCTAGCAGCACTATATATGCCCAACTCTGTATCTCATCTACAACATGTAGATGCCAGGTAGTGCCGGTGGTCCCCGCGGCCAGTTCAAACCTTGGGAAGCCGCATATAACCAGCCCCTAGGGAGCTCCAGCAACCAGGAGTGATGCAAACAGGGAGCATCATTTGAGAGGAGCAGTGCAGAAGTTTGTGTGGAAGGGCCTGTGAGAAGGGACAGCGCACTCTACCAGTTGTCAGGCTGCTGCCTGCTCTGCTCACCTGCAGGCTTCGGCTGTGGCCCCGATGGTCACCCCAGCTAGCTGTTGGCTGTGCAAACCTACCCAGCAGCTTGAGGTCTCCAGGGAATTAGAAGGGCTTATTAGGCAGTACTTTGGGATTGTCAGAAGCATGGTGGCAGACACCTGGTGAAGGCTGCGCTCTGCAGCAGCTGGGAGCCCATCTATCTAGCCAGGCTAGCCTGGGACGAGTGTAGGCAGCCACCCAGACAGAGCTTCCTATCAGGGAAGCTGCTGTCCAGGTGGAGGGCTGTAAAGTCTGTACCCCACACTCCTGGGTGGAGGAGGGTGCAAGCTCCACCCGTGCAAGGTGTGCTCTGGTGGAGTCACTCAGGCAGCGGGTGGAGGAGCTGCAGGAGGAAGTCAGCAGGTTATGCTGTATTGGGGAAGGAGAACAAGAAATAGATAGAGTATTATTCGAGACTTTGCAAGAAGAAATACTAGAGCCTCGTAGCACTGACCTCCAAGGACTACCAGACAAAGGGTGTCAACAGCGAACAGACAGCACCTTGGAGAAGGAGGCGCCATAGTCTCTGGTGACTTGTGGCAACAGGATATCACTTCCCCCCCATTTCTTCGTATGTACCAACCAGCAACAGATACGAAGTCTTGGCAGTGGGTGAAGCCAATGAGCAAGACTCACAGGGAGAAACCACACCAGTTGCACACACTAAAAGCTGCAAAAGGAAGCAACGAGTGCTAGTAGTGGGTGACCCTCTGCTGAGAGGCACCCATCTGTCGGCCTGATATACAGTCAAGGGAAGTTTGCTGCTTGCCAGGAGCCAAGATCTGGGATGTTACAGAGAGACTGCCAAAACTGGTTAAAAGCACAGGCTACTATCCCCTACTTCTTTTCCATGTGGGCACCAATGACACGGTAAAGCATAGCCTGGGCAAGATCAAGCAGGACTTCAGAGCCCTCGGGGCACAAGTGAAGGGGAGAGGGGTCCAAGTGATCTTCGCCTCTATCTTGTGAGTCAGGGATAGGGGTGTGGGCAGAAGTCGACGCATCATGCAGATCAACACCTGGCTTCGTGGCTTGTGTCATCGCCAGGGCTTTGGCTTCTATGATCACGGGACGTTCTTCAATGAATACAGCCTATTGGGATCCACCTATCTAGAAGAGGAAGGAGCATCTTTGCTGGCAGATTGGCTGACTTTGATGACTTCGTGAATCGTGCTTTAAACTAAGGAACTTGGGGGGGTGGGGTCCAAAGCCACAACACTTGTGTACTCGCAAGCAACAGGGTGGATGAGCACACCTACCGGAGTACTGAGGAATGCCCCCCAACCCTCCAAAAAGGTTCCACCAAAAAGGTGAGACAGTCAACAGTCCAACTGAAGTGTCGCTATACCAATGCACGTAGCATGGGTAACAAACAGGAGGAGCTGGAAGCCACTGGGCAGCTGGAAAGCTATGATCTGATCGCTATCACTGAAACATGGTGGGATGAATCACATGACTGGAGCACTGCAATCGATAGCTATAAACTGTTTAGGAGGGCCAGGCAAGGAAGGAGGGGAGGGTGTGTGTGTGCGCGCGTGTTGCTCTCTGTGTAAAAAAATGGATTGATTGCACAAAGCTGTCTTTGAAAAACAGCAATACACAGGTTGAGAGCTTATGGGTGAAAATTAGAGACCAAGCCAACAAAGGAAATCTCGTAGCTGGTGTTTACTACAGGCCACCTGATCAATGGGAGGATGTTGATGAAGCGTTCTTGCTTCAACTACAGGAAGCATCACACTTGCAGGCTCTGATCCTGCTGGGGGTCTTCAACTACCCTGATATCCGCTGGAAAAGTGGCACAGCAAGCTGCAAGCCGTCTAGGAGATTCTTGGAGTGCATTGAGGATAACTTCCTAATCCAGGTGACAGAAAGCCCAACCAGAGGAGATGCGTTACTGGGCCTGTTGCTCACCAACGCAGAGGAACTTATTGGAGAGGTCAAGATTGGTAGGTAGACTGGGCTGCAGTGATCATGCCCTGATGGAATTCATGATCTTGAGGGATATAGGCCAGGCAAAAAGTATAGTCAAGACCCTAAACCTTAGGAAAGTGAACTTTCAGTTGTTCCTCTGTGCTCTGATCACTGAATCTGGCTACCTTCTAAAACATCATACAGCAATGACAGCGAAAGTATAAAATTGCCAGTTACTTCAAGAATTGTCCTTTTTCAAATAAAATTCATCAAAAGAATTTGTAGTCCATAGTGAGGACTAAATCCCTCTGGGAGATGGGCTGAGTGAGAGAGATGGGAAAGCTCCACCTTGCCTAGTGTGGTGTTGTGTTGTGGGGTGTCCCCTGCACTTTGGGGATGCAGCACCGTATTTGGAGATATGCCTGGCAAGCTCCCAGATTGGAGGAGTCCCTGGGCCAAGCACTCTGTTTTGCCAGGGGCAGTTGCAGTGGCTATCACAGATTCATATAGGTCAAAGCTGACTCAACAGGGCATTTAATATGTTCCTGTGGAATGATATTCTGATGGTTCATCCAAGAATTTGTGTGTTTTGAAACCTAAACCATTATCTCTCCTTAGGCTAGCAATAGGAAGTTACAGGATGTAGTGCTGTTCAGAACAGATGGGATATTTTAGATGTTTGGGGAAGACAAAAGCTGTGTATTTTCTTGAAAAAAATCCATTAATTTTATGGGGAATGCTTTGAAGGGGAGGAATAAATTGAGTTTTTTACCCCTAAAGCTTTTGGGGGCTTGTGGTTGACAAACCAATTTAATAATTTTAACTCCTTTTTTTTACCCCCTCATTTGGGGGAAAAACCCAGAAGTGTTAAATCCTTACTTAGCTCTTGGTCTCTATTTTCTTGCTCTGCTTCTCACAGCTTTTCAGTGGCAGACACTAGTTTGACCAAAGCAAGCCATTTTATTTTGGTTGCGGAAATATTTTGCACACGCACATATACACACATATATGTGCAGAATTTTGATGGAAATTTTTCGATGATTCCTGATAAAATCACCTTCTGATTCATAAAACTTCTCTCCAAACATGTCAAAGTGCAAATAAATGCATTTATACTCAAAGTCTAGGAATATACTCGAGGAATATAAGTAATAGTATCCTCAGAATAAGGAAATGTTCGGGCTCAGATTTTCCAAGCTGAACAGCAGGCTAATATGAGAATCTTAACTGTGTCCAGTACCAGATGCAGATTTTCTCTCTCTGAAGTGTCCGTTGGTTTTGACTGAATTTGTGGCATTCAGAAATCAAGGCATCCACATTTTCTTAATTGGCATCAGGATTTCCTTACCAAGAAGTCCATGACTGATGGAAAAAGAGTCCACATTGCCTGACTGCTAACTGTAAACACAAGAATCATGAAATGAGTATTGCATTAGCTTGATTTGTTTCTTTTTCTTGAACTTTAACTCATCTTTGTATTTTTTTGCAGTTGTTCAAGGGACTGGTGGATGTCACCCCCTGGGAAACTGCCTTCTGGGATAAAAGAGCTGAACAGATCTGGCAGCTATTTAAAGAAATTTTTCTTTGAGCATAAGAACTATAAATTCCCATGTGCAAGAAATCAGGTAAGGAAGGCAAGAGACCAGCATGGCTGAATAAGGGCATCCTGGTCAAACTGAAAGACAAGAGGCAAATGTATAGGCAGTTGAAGCACAGGCACGCATCCAGGGAAGAATATAGGGATGCTGCCCAGATGGTTAGGGATTGGATCATGAAGATAAGGCACAGCTGGAGTTAAATTTGGCAAGGGATGTGAAGAATAATAAGAAGGGCTTCTACAGGTACATTAGTCAGAAAAGGAAGGAAAAATAAATAGGATCCCCCCTAATACATAGGACAGGGGATCTGGTGACAACCTACATGAAGGCGGCTGAGGTACTCAACAATTTTTTTTGCTTCAGTTTTCAATGGTAATCTCTCTTCCCACATCTCTCAAGTCCTTGAATTACAAGGCAGGGACTGAGGTAATAAAGTCCCACCCATCATAGAAGATCAAGTTTGGGACCACCTGAGGAACCTGAACATACACAAGTCCAAGGGATACAATGAGATTCACCCCAGGGTCCTCAGTGAATTGGCTGATGTAGTCTCTAAGACACTCTCCATCATATTTGAAAAGTCATGGCAGTCGGGGAAGTCCCCAATGATTGGAAAAAAGGAAAAATCACTTCCATTTTTAAAAAGGAGGAACCTGGGAACTACTAACTAGTCAGACTCACCTCTGTGCCTGGGAAAATCATGGAACAGCTCCTCCTGGAAGACATGTGAAGGCATATGGATGACAGGGAGGTGATTTGAGACAGTCAACATGGCTTCACCAAGGGCAAATAGTGCCTGACTAATATCTGGTGGCCTTCTATGATGGAGTGGCTGCATCAGTGGAAAAGGGAAAAGCTACAGATGTCATCTATTTGACTTCTGTAAGGCCTTTGACATGGTCCCCCACAACATTCTTACCGCTAACTTGGAGAGATATGGGTTTGATGGATGGACTGTTCAATCAATAAGGAATTGGCTGGATGGCCGCGTCCAAAGAGTTACAGTCAATGGCCCAGTGTCCAGATCAGTAACAAGCAGTGTCCCTCAAGGGCCTGTATTGGGACCAGTACTGTTCAATATCTTTATTAATGACATAGATATTGGGATTGAGTACACCCTCAGCAAGTTTGCAGATGACACCAAGCTGAGTGGTGCGGATGATATGCTTGAGGGAAGAGATGCCATCCAGAGGGACCTTGACAGGCTTGAGGAGTGGGCCCACGTGAACCTCATGAAGTTCAACAAGGCCAAGGGCAAGGTCCTGCACCTGGGTTGGGGCAACCCCGGATATCAATACAGACTGGGGAATTAATTGATTTAGAGCAGCCCTGTGGAGAAAGACTTGAGGATATTGGCAGATGAAAAATTAGATATGCACTGGCAATGTGTGCTTGTAGCCCCGAAAGCCAATCATATCCTGGTCTGTATAAAAAGAAGTGTGGCCAGCGGGTCGAGGGAGGTGATTCTCCCCCTCTACTCTGCTCTCACAAGACCCCACCTGGAGTACTGGAGTGTGTCCAGAGGAGGACCACGAAAATGGTCAGAGGGCTGGAACGCCTCTTCTATGAAGAAAGGCTGAGAGTTGGGGTTGCTCAGCCTGGAGAGAAGAAGGCTCCGAGATTTTATTCCAGCCTTTCAATATATAAAAGGGGCTTAGAATAAAGATGGAGAGAGACTTTTTACCAAGGCCTGTAGTGACAGGACAAGGGGCAGCGGTTTTAAACTGAAGGAGGGTAGTTTTGGATTGGATATAAGGAATGCTTTATGCTGACAGTGGTGAGACACTGGAACAGGTTGCTCAGGGAAGCTGTGGATGCCCCATCATTGGAAGTGTTCAAGGTCAGGTTGGATGGGGCTTTGAGCAACCTGATCTAGTGGAAGATGTCCCTGCCCATGACAGGGGGTTGGAACTAGATGATCTTTAAAGGTCCCATCCAATCAAAACCATCCTATGATTCTATTATTCTATGTTTCTATGTTCCCAATATTTGGCCATCTCCAGTGTGTTAGGATCCCCTTTAGTTCTCAGCTCCTTTTCACTGTTACCAGTTCCTCTCAGTAGTCTACCAGTCCTCCTGTTGAGTCTAAAAGGTCTATTAAATCTCCATCCAATTTCTCTCCATCTCTTGCCCCATTTTCCAGCCCCCTCCTTTCATTTCTTTTTTGATTACTATGGTACTAATATACTAGAGATTATAGTAGGCTACAAACATCTTTTTCCTGAGATGATATTATATTGACCAGACTTACCAATTCCTACTTTTTAATATATTAAGATTCAAATCCATGAAGACGATATTCTTAAAATAACGTTCTTCTGAAAAATGGATTAGAACAGTCGTATAGGAAAAGGATTTATGCTGAGTGCATTATGAGACCTTTCAATGTATACTGTTGAGAGTTCTTGAGATAAAACACTACTAAGAACAGGTAAATGGAAAACGTTTTAAAACATGGATAGCTTTTTTTTTTTTATAGAAAAGAATAAGAAAAAACAGGTGTCAGTACTGCATCCAGTCCTGTTCAATATGTTCATCGATGACCTGGATGAACGGATAAGAGTGTACCATCAGCAAGTTTGCTGATAACACAAAACTGGGAGAGGTGGCTGACAAGCCAGAAGGCTGTGCCGCCTTACAGCGTGACATGGACAGGCTGCAGAGTTGGGCAGAGAGAAACCTTATGAAATTCAACAAGGGCAAGTGTAGGGTCCAGCATCTGGGGAGGAATAACCCCATGCATCAGTACAGGTTGGGGGCTGACCTCCTGGAGAGCAGCTCTGTGGAAAGGGACCTGGGATTCCTGGTGGACAACGGGATGACCATGAGTCAGCAATGTTCCCTGGTGGCCAAGAAGGCGAATGGCATCCTGGGGTGCATCAAGAAGAGTGTGGCCAGCAGGTCGAGGGAGGTCATCTTCCCCCTCTACTCTGCCCTGGTGAGGCCACATCTGGAGTATTGTGTCCATTTCTGGGCTCCCCAGTTCAAGAAGGACAGGGAACTGCTGGAGAGGGTCCAGCAAAGGGCTACAAAGATGATTAGGGTACTGGAGCATCTTTCTTATGATGAAAGGCTGAGGGACTTGGGTCTTTTTGGTTTAGGGAAAAGAAGACTAAGGGGGGATCTTATTAATGCTTACAAATACTTAAAGGGAGGGTGTCAGGGGGATGGGACCAGTCTTTTTTCAGTGGTGCCCAGACAAGAGCTAACAGGCACAAACTTGAACGTAGGAAGTTCCATCTTAACATGAGGAGGGACTTCTTTACCTTGAGGGTGGCAGAGCACTGGAACAGGCTGCCCAGAGAGGCTGTGGAGTCTCCCACTCTGGAGACATTCAAAACCCGCCTGGATGCCGTCCTGTGCAACCTGCTGTAGGTGACCCTGCTCTGTCAGGGGGGTTGGACTAGATGATCTCCAGAGGTCCCTTCCAACCCTGACCATTCTGTGATTCTGTGATCTAAGAACTCCAACTTAGTATCAAAATTGCTTAATTGTCAGAAAAGAGAAATCAAGCCTTTGTCTAAGCTTATCCTTAACATTGCATATATCAGCACTGACACTTTCACATGTGAACACAGAAAAATAGCCCTTTATTTCCGTCTTGGTCTCCAAATAAAGCAGGATGAGTTTTGCGTAATGAGCATCCGCAACTGCTCCCTTGAAAGAGAACTGTCATTTCTCTGCACTTCTGTACATCAGGTTGACTAATGGATGATTAGATACACTCTAGATTTGGACACCTAACTTTGGAAATGTTGAAAATGTTTATATAAAACATTCAAACATTTTTTTCCTCTCTACTTCTCTTTATTACATTGGAAAACTCTCTCCCTACAGATTGCACATTTGAGCCCATTATTAATAGCTGATGGGTTTTGAAAAGAAGGTGGAGATTTTTCACATGAAGAATTCAAATCAAATTTTAGTGGTCCAGAGAGATTAAATGACATTATATGAATTTGAGTATCTCCCTTCAAAGGTTTCTTTACCACAAGACAGAGAATCTACATACAAGAGGGCATAAACAGCTACATAGCACTGAGAGTCAACAACAGCGAGGCTGCAGATAATGAGTAGGAGAGTGTAACCTAAAATAATGAATATTAAGAGCTCTGCTTTGTCTACGTATTTGTATGGCTCTCACAACTAGATACCATGTTTACCCATGATCTTAATCACAGTCTTCAAAAAGCATTATTAAATACTAAAATACTGTTATGTATTCCCTCTTATCTTCTAGGACACTGACTCAATATTTAGGAACTATTTCATCAGATCAGATGTACTCTACCATGACAATCCTTTGTGTGAGGTTTATGACTGATACTCTTCTGAGAATCACATTACTGTCCAAGTAAGGATTTGGAATCATAAAAGTCACCATTTTATTTTAAAATACTTTGAAAATTCTTTCTAGTTTTACATACCAAAGCAACATGAACAGTGAATTCTGCACCAATGCCAACAGAAGCAACCAGGATAACCACAGGCACTGCACTCAGCTTTATTCCAATTAGACCCATCATGCCAAACAGCTCCACAGTCATCAGAGCCAGCATCACTACCTAGATGATTTCAAACAGCCGTTAGTAACTTCTCATACTCTAGACAAATGAAGAGGAAGGCTATTTCAAAACAATATGGGGACTATAAAAAATATCACTCAGATCAGTCCTCCTCTTATCCCTAAAGACAAGCCATTTTTTCTTGTTTCATTTTGCTCAATGGCAATGACCCTCTAAAGAGTCAGTTTAAATTATTATCCCAAGAACCAGTTAACAGATCAAACATCACTTTTCTATTGGTAACAATTTATCAATGTGATTTGAAAAATAATTTTTTTCTTCCTTCTCATGGATACCCACTGGAAGATAAATTTTCTTTTTCACCTGTTTCTGTGACAATCCTTCTAGAAAAACTAAATTTCAAATAACTGCATTGGAATTCTTTTTGTAGTATTCCAAATGTAAGTGAGGATGACTCCAGAGTAGGTTTAAAGCCCAGAAGAAAGTGAATGTCATAATTAGCTGATGAGTCTCAAGTTACAGAGGGCCTTTGATAGGCCTTTAAAGATACTTGAAGGGATTGACATGGACAATGCAAATAGGTAAATCTAAGGGAAAGCTTTTATTTTTCTTTCATCTACCTTGTAAAAAATAATAAAGGAGGGGAGGAAATCTGTGGAATCGACTTCAAGGTTTCTAAAGCCAAGCAGGAAAAAAAGAGACAAACTTATAAAAGCAATGGCAGACTGAAAATAAGCCACTTTCCCAAGGGAAAAAATATGCACTATAATAAATGATTTTAAAAGCTAATGAATCAAGAAAAATAACATAAATCGCTTGATTAAGTGCTATGAAAAATATTCTAGACTAAACATTTAACTTTTAACATACTTGCCATATAAACGTATATTACAAAAACTAGTAATTGTTTTACACTTTTCTAACCCATACGACATTTATAAAACAATACAAATTTTATAAGCCATACAACAGTTTGTGGAATTTAAACATAGTAACATCATCATCCAATTTATCTTGAATGTTTATTATGAGGCTTATGGTGCCTTGCAGAAAGCATGGAGGAATATCCTCTTCAATTTATAATTTTATAACTCTTTCTCCTCAATAGCCCAATTACACTATTTTCCAAGTGTGTACTGTACAATCTAACCATTTCAGTCTTTCCAGAAAGACTGCATTCAGAAATCAGTGGGCAAATTTACAGTCACAAGCAACTGCCTTGAAAAATAACATTGTCTGATAAAAAGGAGGAAGGAAAAACTAAATAGAAATAACTTTAATATTTAATAACATTCCTAATTTTCCTGTGTCTTCATTTCTCATGTTAATGTGCATCTGAACAAGGGCAAAAGTTCATGTATCCTTGTAAGAAACCTTTAAAGCTGCAAAAAGGTGGCCAAAGGATGAAGGTTATTAAGGTTTGTACCTTTGGCATGAACTTTACCCCCTCAAGTTGAATAAATATATAATGAATGATGCAATATACATACTCCATTAGAGGCCCAGACATAAACAAAACCTTCCTGACTACAGCAAGAGCTATGCTGAAAGGAATTTGACTTTAACAAAGACCCTTATAATAAACTTACAATGATTCCAGATGTCCAAGGGTTCAGGAGGAAGAGGGCACAGACCAGAAATGTGCAAGCCAAAACCACACTAATGGATAAGAGGAGCCAGTGACGAAGCCCAATATACTGCTCCCAAAATAGAAATGGGTAACCATTTGGGTAGTTGGCAATCCCCAGGCCGTCATAGTTATTACAGATAGCTCTCACTTTCTTGATAGCTTCCACAAAGTCAGAAGTTTCACGCAATCCATTGAGGTAGAAAGGAAACTGAGCATATTCTATGGGCTCAGCTGCTGGAACTAGAAAAAGGATAGCAATGTTTTAATGTGTTTGGAAAGAAGAAGATACACAGAGAGCATGATTAACAAGACACTTGTTCTCTATAGTAAAATGCTTAAAGGTGTTGAATTTAAATTTTGCATCTTTGGAACAACTGACACTTTAAAAACACTAAATACAGGAGATCAGTATATTTGGGATAAACACAGCCTGTATTAAGTCCCCAAACAATTCTATATATTTTAACAACTGCAGATATATTTCAATATATGTATTTAATCTTCACCAACCTTTTACTGAATACCTGCCCTAGGGTTCAGATACACTGAAGCAAAGCTAGCTTGTTACCCAAGCACATTTTCAAGAGTGCCAGTCCTCTACCACATGTCCTCTGCCATTGTCCACTGGTGTACAACTAGCAATACTCCCAATAAATTCAAAGCTGAAGCAAAGCAAGGCGAACCAGCATTACTGCTCAGGGTGCAAAACAGTGAACAGCAGAGTGGGAGGGACAAAAGAGCACCCACTCACACAGACTGCTCCCCTAAATAGCTCTTGTACCATATCGGTGTTGGTAGCTTATACATATGAGCTAAGTTGATAAAATTTCCTTACATATTAAAAACTGAGGATAAACATGATGTAATCTCAGTGATGAAATTCAGGAATTTCATGCTATCTCCAGGTTTCTCTCACGTATGGAACTATCGGGTGACATTAAAAAGCAATGCTTATTATAAGTTTTTAGAGCTTTGCTAGAAACTGTTATAAAACTAATTTCTCAACATGATAAAACCCTTCAGTGGTGTCACATTACACTAGATTCCACAACTGCATTTGTCTCTTGAAGCTACAGAGTAACACAATATATTGTTCTGTTTATGCTTGAGCCCTATACAGCATCACCCAACTATAGAGTTACTAGGTCTTGAAGGAAGGAGTGAGAGCACCTATATAAACTGTAAGACATTAAGATGAAATGCTACTTACTTCTCAGCCTTGTTTCTGGCATATAGTCTGCTTTGTCGTGGACCCACTCTGGGCGATGAGGACGGATGTTGGCTTGCGAGGCAGCATAGGCCACAGGGTCATTGCTAACCCAGGCTGTCAGGTAGATGTAGAAAGCATTTGGGTTAATGATTCCATCCGCATCCACCAGACGCTGTTTAGTCAACTGCAAAATGGAAAGATTAGAAGCTATTCAGAATGAGTTTTGTTTTCAGGGCTCTTGCTGCAAAGCTTATGACAAAAAGCCTAGAGATGCAACACACATATAGGAGGGAGGGAAGAAAAAGACAAACAGCATGAACTTTCACTTGAAGTGACTTACCAGCAAACTATAGTTTGACAATGAAGAAAAATCTAAGTAACTACAGTGACAGTGGAAAGTGGTTATTTATAAGCTAATATTTATATAATATTTATAATAAACACTAAATCAGCAGATGGTTCCAGAATAGACTGAACCAATTAAATCTGAATTCCAAAAGACTGTCTGTAGCCGAGGGTGAAAATCAACCAAATTGGAGAAACATATTTTAAAGAAAGGAGAAAAATAATTGGCAAGAGTCCCTATACATGTCTGTGTGCAGTTAACCTCTATTGTTAACACTGAAGAAAATGCCACCCAGTAAATGGAGGAGAGCTATAAAAATAAAACATCATCCGTATAAATTTTTCTAGCACTTGTCTCCTATGACCTATGAATTTCAGAAAATGCCCAGTCCCAAAATAAAACAGACAAGTGCACTGTTTGGGTCACTGTTGGCAAATGTATCTGTGGGTAAACAGCAGCACTACATTTCTAGGGTTCTGCAGCCAAATACTGCACAGCTAGAGCTCTGACAGAGGACTCTGCGGAATAAAAGTATTACTGTGGTTTTTTGGTTTGCTTTGTTTATTTAAAATTCTGGCTTGGCTCCAGTTTCAGGTCTTTTTAATGAAATGAAGAGCAACAGTGACAGCAGTTAAAAAAAAAGCAAAACCTCCCCAAAAACTAGATTCCAAAGATCTGGATTCAATTAATCCACAGGATATGCAACAACTGTATGTCTTCAAGCTATCTTTGGAATTGAATAGTACAGCACTCAGCCCTTGTGGGTGCAGCACACTTTTCTCCCTCTCAGGCACAGGAAATTGTATCAGCAGCTGTAGCCCAAACACATTTGTTCCGCAGTCTATGTGGTACACACTGCTAAACGAAATCTCACTACACAAAATCTCACTAAAGGTTTTCTCTTTGATTCCCTACCTTTGCTAAATTCATAGCTGAAGCACCATTCAAACCTGACAGCATGCTGCATGTTACCATATAGCAATGTGTTTTATACACCATAGTAACTGAACAATGTAATCTGTAAATTTGTCACCTTTAATGCCAGCAAAAAAATAAAGTAAGCATATCTGCCAAGAAGCTCACTAGAGATACTATTTTCTGCCTGAAAGCACAGAGAGTCAATAATGATTCTAGGAGAGGAGAAGCTAGGTTACTGCAGAATTTTTTCTTATGAGCTTTAAAATAAAATTTTGGCATAAGGAGTCAAATCCAGCATGTTACACCTACCTATGTGATAATAAAAAGCAGCAAATGCAGTTATATGCTGTGATAACTTCATGAAAGAAGCTCAGATGTATTTTATTTAGGCAGCTCAACCAGCTGTCATTCTCAGTTCTACTACAGTATATCTATATTTAGTAATGACAGTATAATAATATTGTACAGCATATAGTTATTTCAGTCCCCTTCCATTCACTATCATTCGTAAACATCTTTCTTTAAAATGTGTGTTTTGAATAAATTGGTAGGAACTAACAAAATAATTGCAAATGCTAGATTCAAAGCCACAGCAGAAGGCTGAGCAAAGGTCATCCCTATAAACAAATCTAATTCAAATCAGAAACAAGGCTAACATTGGCTATATGTCTGGCATAGGACCGGACTCCATCTACATATGGATGCAGAGTAGCATCTTCCACACCAACTGCAGTGGAAACTGAGTGTGTGTATGAGACAGGAACAGCATTTAACACATGCCAGCCAATAATCACCAAGGACAGGCATTC